GCGAGATACAAATCCCGGCTGCTGCGACTTCAACCTGTCAACCCTCGGGTTTGTCAGGCTCTGGCCTGGTGTTAAGCAGAAGCTACGGAGAGATGTGATTGAATGTGAGAAGGAAAAACCCATCAGCAAGTGACATGACCTCTGGCAAAGGGATACAGTCCATCTGGGACACGGTGACGGTGGGAGCCTGTTAACCCACATACTCTGCACAAGTTAAAACAGCCTGTCCTGCCCCGCTCCTCTGCTGAGGGTTATTTGGAGGCTGCACTTCCACAGCCAGCCCCCTGCTCAGGAAGATACCCGGTGGCATCCAACGAACTCTACAAAACTGCAGAGATGGGAGGAAGATGAGAACCATCTAAATAATTTTTCAGCTTGGGAAGTTCAGCTGCTTTGAAATACTCTGGCAGCAACCACCCCCATGGGACATCCCCCCCACCTGGTCTTCCCTGGATACCTCCGCACCCTCCCTGCTTCTTCCCTGGTGCCGGAGCTGGCAGGGCCCCCCTGGTCCCCCTTCCCCACAGCCATCAGCAGCCCAACCCCGGGGCAGACCCTGCGGTGATCCCCCCGGGGGCTGAGCCCATCTCCCTTGGAAGAAACCTCCTCCTCCCCAGCTGGGTGCGGGGCTGACGTCCCCCCAGCCCTGCAGCTGCCCCCAGCAAGGCTCAGCCCAGCTCCCTGCCCCTGCTCCCTTGTAGCTGGGGCTTTTTGGGGTGGTTCTTTTGTTGCTGCTTACTTGCTCTGGGGAGGTGGGAACGGGCTGTGGGGTGTGCAGAAAGGATGCTCTTGACAGGTCGGGCGCTTGACTTGCTGTGCTTTGCCCTTCATTCTTGTGATGGGCAAACAGAACCACATTTAAATAGAAATAACTGAGGGTAAAGGAAATGGTGGTGCACCAGACAGGGTGGGTACCGTCTCTGGCACTTCTCCTCTGGTTTCCCTCTGTTTCGGCCCTGTTCTCTGCATGTGCGCTAGGAACAACCCGGCCTGGCTCCTGGTGCGATGTTGTGGCTGCAGGGATGCTCGCTGCAGCCCTTCTCATCCCATCCCCACCTAGAGAGCCCTGTCACTTGATGCTGAAGGAAAACTTGCCCATGCTTGATGCATCAGAAAAAATTGTTTAAGAACAGTGTATCCGTGTGAAAACAAGCTCCCAGCAATCCTGTGAAGGTCAGCGTGAACTGCTGAGCTGGTGCCCTGCTGTGAGCCCCAGCTGGGTCTCACGCACCTGCCTTTTCCAGGCATGCAGGACACCTTGGGGAGAGGGAGCACACAAGCCCTCCCTTCCCGTGCTCTTCTCCCTACCCTCTCCGGGGACATGTCCCACCTGCTCGCCCACGTGCTTGCTCCTCACTTAACTAGAAAAGAAAACCATGGGCTTTCTCCAGGTCAAACAGGACTCATACATATATGAAACCTCGGTAGGGATTTAATCAATGCAGATTTGCGCGTGAGGCCCTGCGGTGTTCAGCTTTGGCCGGCCATCGGGACATCGTACATGTGGAGCAGGGGCTGGGTAGTCTGTTCTCCTTGCGTGAAATCCCAAGGAAGAACATGGTCCTGACCTAGGGTGAGGGCTGCAAAGAAGTGTCTCCTCTTCCTAGCACCAGTCAGAGGGGCTGCTCCGGCACAGGGCTGGGGGTCACCGAATGCACTGCTCCACCAGCAGTGACCTGACTGCTCCAGGCATCGCCTGCACGGCTCTTCCCAGCCTGGCCTCTCCCAGGGCACCAAGTGAGGATTTGCAGGGTGAACTACTCATTAATGAGTCCTTATGAATCCCTCCCTGCCTGGCCCAGCACAGCAGGAGGAGTCGCTCTCCTGGCGTGGGTGGGATGCTGAGGTCTCCGAGCACTCTCCTTTGGTCTGCAGCATCTGTGTCGCTTCTCATCCTGCCCTGCTGTTAGCTCTCTCCGGAGGTATCGTTGTGGGAAGCGGAGCAGTTCTCTGGTTCCTTCGTGATTCCCACTGAGCACTGCTCCACTTTGACTTTCTTTCTTCCTCTCTTTGACTTCTTAGCTCCTGTAATCAGCAAGATAACCGGAGGAGTTAACCACAGAGCAATGGATTTGTATGTACGAGGTCAGCATGGCATCATCCCAAAATAGGGACAGCGAAGGGGGAAGCAAAGCTCAGCAAAGGAAAGATGAAGATAAACCCCTCTCACACGTGAGATGCAGGGGTAATTGGGGGAGGCTGTTGTGACCTTGGAAACAGAAGCAACCTGTGAAGCAGAAAAAGGCAGAGAACTGACCTAGCACAGGAGTGTACCTGAGAGGGTACCCAGAGCAGCGGGGTGCATTTCTTGGATTCTTCCCCTTGCAGTGTGTACATGGCACACAGCACATGCTGAGAGAGGGGTTATGTCTCTCCATCACCCCATTCCTGCCACAGGTGCATCCAGCCCTCACTCGGGACATCCCCATCCAGTCCTGGAGGGTCGGATGGTGTCCGTTCTGGGGAGCACTGGGCAGCTTCCTCCCCATTGCTCCGAGCAGCTGGTTTTGCAGAGCAAATTCTCTTCTCACTCAGCTGGGGTGATGTCCCCCAGGTGAGCAGGCACCTCCGAAGGCTGGGCACAGAGCAAGGGGCAGCGCTTGCCTGTTAAACTTAAACAAGCTCCCTTCATGCTTAAGCAACAGCCCTCTCTACATTTATAATTGGGTCAATGTCTCCCTGTCGTTGCCGATGGTACAAAGGGGGTTATTTCTGACAGAGCACTTTTTAAGGCTTGACAGGCACACAGTCTTATCCTTGCCCTTATCAGGAGCAGTTTTCTGCTTATTCACCGGTAGGAAACATGAGTAACAACACATTCCTCTGTCAGCAGGGAAAACCTCCGCAGCCGCGCTGGAAGATCAACAGAGTTGGCAGAAACCTTTCTCTGAATGTCAATAACTCACCCCTGGGAATTTGCCCTTCTTCAATCACCACCTCCCCGACCGGCTAAGCAAACACGATGTACTCAGCCCTGTTAGCTTAGGTGCTCGGGAGTGCTCTCCTGGCCACCCTGCCCAGGCTCCCCTGGCTAACTATTAGCAGGGGCTCCTTTGGCTGGAGACACAACCGTTACCAAAACATGGTGCGTGGCGTACACTCGGTGGAGCAGCACCCTCCTCTCCGCTGTGGGGAAGGCAGCCGGTACCCTTGGGTGTTTCTCACAGGAGCCCCTTGGGAAGCAGCAGAAGTTTTAGCCCTGAGCTAATGCCATGAGGAACTCCTCCCTGCTACCTTTTGTCCAGGGATCCTGGCCTCTTTTTCTCTTCTTCTGCAGCGCATGAGCTTTGTCTTTGGTGCAAAAACATTTCCCGTCAGCCTGGGCTTCTTGTAGGATATCGTCTTCATATGGGGCAGCGACCTACACCAACGAGAAGAGCAGTCAGTCTACAAACTACCCTGCCTTTCCCAGGGAGCTGATGGCCTGGCTGCATTGCTGGGGACCTTTGTGACCATTGCTATGGTGTGATGACAAATGCTGTTGTTCATAAACCCTCTTGACTTGCTGGAGGGAGTGATATCTCTATCCCTCAGCAACAAGTTGGGTAACAGCATGAGAATGGGGTTTGGCACCACGTATGGGAAGAGCCATCACCTTCTGGAGTGAGCTTGGGTGGTGAAAGCCCATCTTACGCTTCTCAGACCTGGCAGCCTAAGCTAATGGCTGAGGAGAGCAAACAAACCTCGCTGTCCGTCGTGTCTGGCTCATCAGATTCCTGCTTCCCAGACTCAGTGTCGTCATCATCTAAGGAAATACAAAAGGAAGGTTTTTTTGGCTGGTAGGAGGTCCGACAAGCTCATGAGCAGATACAGAGCCACTGGGCCAGGCTCTGAGAGCCATTGAGGCAAAAACCAGATTCAGCAATAAATTGCGTTGCAAAGCAGAGGCACTGTGAGCTACATGGTTTGAAATGAATGTTTATGGGAGATCCAACATGACTCTGTTGGGGAACCCGCTCCCAGTAAAGCTGTATCCATAGAACTTTGCTACTCCAAGGTCGCAAGCACTGCCTCGAATTCTGTGGCTACCTGCGGGTTGGGAAGTTGAGGGCTATTTAAAACCCCAGGGTGTCCCTTACCACTTGAGACTGTATCCATAGAACTTTGCTACTCCAAGGTTGCAAGCACTGCCTCGAATTCTGTGGCTTGGGAAGCTGAGGGCTATTTAAAACCCCAGGGTGCCCCTTCCCACTTGATATCCAGGTGGGGAGAAGCGTGCCTGGATATAGAGACCAAAAAGGACAATCCTCACGTTTGCTGCCGGTCGGTGGCTCTTGGCAGGGAACGTGCGCTGAGGAGCAGAGGAGGGGAAGGCAGGGGAGCTGCTTCTCTGCCCGGCAAAAGGATTTTGCTGCACAGAGGCCCCAAGGCTACACAACCCCAGACACGTACCTGCACGCACCAGACACGCACCCAACCTTTGCACAGGGCAAAGCTGCCCGGACCAGGGACCAAGCCTTGCTGGGGTAGCATCATGCTGTCTGCACCCACAGCGGCACAACCCATGCTGTCCATGGAGGGGTGGAAAGGGCTGGGGATGGAGCTGTGCCCTCTTCCGAGGGGCAGGGACATGCCAGGACCTCAATACTTGCTCCGGACACCCAGGTCTAGTTGGAGTGGGACCGTCAGTAGGGCAGGCGCCCTTGCTGCCCCTGCCCAGGTGGGACAGACAGCAGACCATGCTGCTTTCAGGCACTCCTAGAGCCCCTGTAGTCTGATCCCGTCCTCATGTTATCCTTCCATGGGTTAAGGTTCACCAGAAAGTGCAGAAGTATTGTTTTGTATGTATTGTTTCCTGGGTTTTGTGTCAACCTTAAGGTGAGAACTGAAGAAAGTCCTGTATTCCCACACCCAGAATGTAATCAGCTGAAATTCTTCTGCTATGATGATATCTCCTTAGCTTGTTAAATCACAGAGGACTCCTCTTTTTTTTTTTTTTTTTTTTTTCACCCTGCAAAATCCTGCTCCGGAAAGTGTTCCCAAACCACTCCGACACACCCAGACCAACTAATCCAGGTGAGCTCAACTTTCTGGCCAAGCCAGTAAGGCTGGTACTGAGCAGCTCTCAGCAGACGTGCTTCCCGCTCCGCTCCCCATGGCTGCTGCCTCCCACCCACCCAGGCAAACCGGGCACCCACGTCCCATGGTGGTCAGGCAGGGAGAAAGCACTGCGTGTCCCCAGACTAAGGGCACTGCTGGTTTTGGGAATGGAAGGGGCTGTTACGGGGGCTGAAGCAGGGAAAGGGAGGAGAGCATCCTGTCCTACCTGCTGCAGGTATCAGCATCGCTCGCTCTGTGCTCAACCCTACGTGCTGTGCCAGCACAGGGCACCCTTTGGAGCATGGGGGCACAGACAGGGATGGTTTTTCCAGTGCTAGTCCTGCAAACCTCTTGCATTTTCCCCATCTCTGCTGGGGTGACTTCTGAGCTTCTGCTTCCCTGAGAGGGGCAGGTAATGTTGGACCAGCAATGTTGTCTTGTCGTGGCTCACCATGGAGCGGGTTTTGCCAACGGGTTGGTGTTAAACTGACCTCTTTAGCTGCTGGAGAACTCTGTGCCACCCAGCAGCTGAGTGCAGGGTGCTCTGCAGGTGTGCCAGGGCACCCCACGGGTGGCTCCTGATCTGTGCCGGGCAGAGATACCAGGCTCTTCAGAATAGCTGGGGTTATTTTCTCCCTGTAGATACTGAGCCTGAATTTTGGGGATCCCTAGGGTTGAAAATCAAGCCTTCAAGGATGGAAATGTGAAACCCAAAGTTCCCACGATGGCCCAAAAGAGCTGGGACCCAGGAACACCTGGGTCCCTGGCAGGGTGTCCCGTGCTGACCCAGGAGCACCTGGGTCCCTGGCAGGGTGTCCCATGCTGGTTGGTTACTGCCTCGGCCAGCCGGGACTGCAGGTGTGTGCGGCGCCCAGCACAGAGAGCTCCGGGCTGTAAGATACCTTCACCAAAATGCACCTTTTGCTCTTGCCTTCTCAAATGTCATGTTGGCCTGGGGCTTTTTACCTGCTTCTCCTTTCTGTGCACTGACATCCAGCCTCACCCCGGTCTCTGGAAGGGTCTCTGGGTTGCTCGGCGTGGAGTTGTTTGTCAGATGTGTCCGTGAGAGCGCGAGCTGTAGGATACAGGGAGCACAAATGCTGCCCTTGCCAGGCAGGAGGAAAGGGCCGTCCCCAGCCCCTGGGCCATGACTGTGACACCCATGGGGACAAGCATCGCAGAGGCGTTTCGGTGCACTGGTGGTGAGTGGCAGGGGAGCCTAGCACAGCTCCTGCACCGGCCTGCGGGATGGGGCACGGGCGCTCCTGGTTCTCGGATCTAAATGGAAACCCCGTGGGCACCAAAGGGGAGGGGAGGTGGGGGATGAGAGCCAGGGCTGAGGGGCTGTGGCTTTGCCATGTACAATTACGTCCCCATTGGCTTCACACACAGCAAAGCCATCCTCCCACGGGACATTAACGGTGGCCGGAAAGCTGCCAGAACAAATGCCGGGGTCATCATTGATTCCAACATGAACTGTACTCACCACAGCTGCATCCTCCTCCTCCTCCTCATCCTCCTCCTCCTCAACAGCACCAGGCAATGCCCGGGTGGCAGAGGGCCAGCGGCAGGGGAAACGCAAGTCATCCTGCTCTGCCCCGTGTCTCCCACAGGGGCCGTGGGCTGCCAGCACAGTGAGGCTCTCCCTGGGGCTTG